TGCTCTTGGTCACGTTGCTTTTGAACCTGGCCAGGCCGAACTCCTGTAACAAGAGAGACCGGAGTTGCAAGCCTCAACCACGGAGTCCAGGCAGCTGCCTTCTGAACCCAATGGTCTGTCAGTGCCCCTGTACCATGGGGGTCCCTTTGGGCTGCAAGCTAAGCACCCACTGGAATGGGCCTCTATTGGCCACAGGGCTGGTGCCTGCAGCATCAGGGTGTATCAGGCTTCCGGGGCTGCGCTGAACACAGCAGCCACTCACCTGGATGGCTCGGGAGACGCCAAACAGACTGGAGGAGACCCACGCATCCCGTCTGACTTCAGTCCAGTTGCTGTTCTCTGGATTCACACAGTAAACACAGCGCTCTTCCACCACCTGCAGGAGGCGACAGCAGCATCAGCCCAGAGCTCCCACTGCCCACACCCCCTGGTCTTGGGGCAACGGAGCTGGGTTACCTCAGGCAGCAGCGTGTCTGGTCCAATTCTCTGCTTGCTGCCCTTGCCACTCACCATAAGACGAGCATGGTTAATGTTCCAGGTGTAGGTGGTCATGGTTCGGTTCTTCGGGTCCACGATGGAATCTTCCAGGATGTACACAGAGTGGGCGACATTAGCAGGAAAGAAGCGCTCTGCCCACCGTGGCATCCTGTTGGTCTTGGTCAGGAGCCGCCTGGAGAGCAGCTTCTGGTCCGCTGTCACCTCCCGGTGCACAATGTCTTCTGTCAGGACATGCTTGCTGGGGGAGAAAGGTGGATGTCAGCCTTAAGGCTGTGCCTCTTGGATCCAACATCCTAACAGGCAGCCCCAGCGGTCTGTGCTGGGACCCTGGTTTCTGAGCATAGCTAGAGCTGGGTCACTGAATGGGAGACACCCAAGCAGGGAGTGTGTAGCAGAGTCTCCCCTAGGAGTCAGTACTGGCCCCAACGCAGTGTCGGTGAATCAGAGGCACTCTCTCCTCCTACACAGTACCGACCCCATGTCCCAGGAGAGGGGTTACCAGATGGTCCCATCCTGGAGGGTGTCTCAGCAATGGCTGGCCCAGGGCAGGGATGGGGCCCGGCTCACTCTGTGCTCAGTTCCAGTCCAAGCTGTGTGTGAGGGGGACAGTGCTGACAACGCAGGACTAGAAGGCTTGGCTTGGCCTGGCCCAGGCCCAGGGGAGGAACTGTGAAAAGACGGGGTGCATGCAAACCAACGCCTGTGGGGGCAACGACTCCGTGACAATGACACCCCTGGATGCTACCGCCCAGCATGTACTCAGAGTTCCTGCAGCTCCTGCCAAAACACACCCCAGGTGCGGGGCCACAGACACTTTGTAAAACGAAGCTGGCCACGTTGTTTCAGTTCACTTCCCGGCCTCAGGAGCTTTGTAACCTTGGTGTGCAGCTATTCAGCAGCGGCTGCACACCACCCCAGAGATGGCTGCATGTCAGCGTGGGCAGAGCAACAGCTGGGTTTAAAGGCTAATGCACATTAGGAGCCTTTGGGATGCAAGCTGATGGCCTCCCCCATGGAGGGCAGGAGGACCCACCAGGGAACCTGCAGGAGAAGCCAGAGAGGTGGCCAGTGAAGCTCATGTGAGCAATGGAAGGAATTTATGATAGGAGACATCTTGGTCTAAGCATGTGAGCAGCAGGGGGGTCACTGCAGGACCGAAGGAAGCACAGACTTGAACTTAGCGTCGAGCTCAGTGACAGAAGCTTCACTCTCCATGTTCGGTGGGAGCGGCTGCCTGGAATGTGATGCACTGCGAGAGAGCTGTGCCCACACCTTGGAAACAGGCAGGGGATCCCACAGGAGCAGCAAAGACGGCCACTGGAACCGGCTTTTGCTGTTAGACACGCCAAGCCAGCTCTAGGGCGGATGGCCCTGGGAGCCAACACCTCTGCGTACGTGTGTGTCCGTGTCCCCTTGAGTCACAAGCAGGACAAGGGGCTGGGGACAAATGTCTTTGCCAGACCCAGCACCCCTCTTCAGTGGAGGGCTGGCACACGGCACAGATCTCCCTTCCCTGCCAGGAGCCTGCCAACAAAACCAGGGAGCAGATACTTCTGTGACTGGAGAGGTTGCACCAAGTACCTCAAGCGCCTTGGGGGATGAAGAGGTGGAGGGTGGTGAGTGGGTGGGGGCGGTGAGGTGGGTG